TCATCCCTCTTCTTCCACTGCCTTTTACCTCCCCAACTGAAGTCGGGCATTTTGCACCTGGGTGGTGTGGGGAAAGTACATATAGTGTAGGCATTTCCAAAGGACACAATGTCTAGGAATGCCAGGAACCGAACCCACATACTCTTGATCTCGTCTGCTCGACCATCCGCTCTCAATTTGATGCCACAAAGGCAGGAGAAGTTGCCTTTTGTTTGTACATGTACAATCATGTACATTGTATCATCCTTCAATCAGATAGTCCAAGCTTGTACCAGTACAACTCGTCCTTGATGCCCATGAGTAGCCCCGGGGTGCCCCCCTCCCCACCCCAGCCCCAGGAGAAGGCAATGGTAGGTCTGGATGTCTGGGAGGTGGAGGAGGGGTGGAGGGAGGGGATGGTCCTCAGCAGCTGTCCATCATGCAGGTTCCACATACGGGTGTGACAGTCCTGACCAACTGCACAACAGAACAACACAAGCATGCAGTAATCAAATATAGTACATTCAAGTTTGCTTGCAAATTCTAAGAAACTGGAAAAGGATAAACATTGAAGCACGATACAAACATAATGTGACCATTCCAGTCTAAAGGATGGCTATAGACTGTAATTTTTTGGGTTAGACTTCTTTTTCAGTGAAAAGTTCATCTGTCAGTCAGAGAAAAGTAGTGACAAGATAAATAGATGTCACTGACAATGAAAATATAAAGGATAGGGATGCAAAATACTGTAGTTACTTTGGTCATAGAAAAGGGTAGGAAACTGCTTATTGCAATGCGTGTTGAAAGTGTACAGTCATTAGAAATGAAGGCAAAAGAGACCAAAGTGCTGTACAGATTGCATTCAGACTTGAAGTGAGCATCAGCAATAGGATACAACATTTCTATGCCCAAAATGTCTAATATGCACTAACACTATCCTGATTGGAAAATGAGAGCAACGTTTAAAAAATTATACAGTTGTCCATATCAATTTCCCTACCTGCAAAAATAAAGTTTTCCTGAGAATCCACAATGACAGGGAGGTGGGCGTACTGGTTCACATGGCCGGGGTAGTCCAGCATGCACCTCTGCACACGCAGGTCCCAGAGTTTTATCTGTGATGGGCAAAGAAGCAGCAATTAACCTTCAGTAACCTACAGGTATCTCTATGTCCAAAATTAAAGATTTAGGTCAGAATCTGGCAGTAGTACCATGTTATGAAACTGTCATTCCAGCAGAACAACTTCCAACAGCTTACTGTAATTCCTGATTTTCTCTATGTCCACAGTTTTTATTTCAATCTGTACCATAAATTCATCATCATTAATAAATAATTTGCCCCCCCTCCTCCTTCCTGCCACTGTGAACATTGAGTTGCATGAACATGTCCAGACCCTGAAATTTTGCTACCGTGAAGACAAAGTGAACAGTGAAATGTCTTCCTGTACATAACTCTGCTTTGTGGTTATTGACAAGGAAGTCAAAACTGCTACGTTTGCAGCTTTTAACTGTTTTGCCAAAGGACTTGGTCTGATGAAGGTTAAACACTACTGACCTTGCCCTGCATGTCGCTGGCCAGGAGGTAGTTCTCGTCCTGGAGCAGACGCAGGCAGCAGACGGAGGACTCGTGTCGGAGCGTCACGGCCGTGCCACGACAGCGCGTACGCACCCGCAGGTCACTCCCCACAATCTCCCCTCTCCTGGTTCCACTCAGTAACACAGGAGACTGAAATAGAATAAGAAGTCAAAAGATGTCACACCTCTGTTTAGTTATACTATGAGTTGTTATGAATTTCAGCCATTATTGTTTCTTGTTGATTCTGTGAAACTGCCAATCATTTCCTCCCAGCCTGCAGGGGGGAACATTTTGACCTCCAATTGGACCTTCCTGTCAGTCTGTGGTTACACCATTCCCCCTTCACTTCCTGTGATTCTGCTGTATTCAAATAAATACACATGTACCTAGTACACGGGCAATCATGCCAAAAACAAATACCTCCATACAAAGAGATGAAAATAATACTTGAAATAAAAAGGTACATGTACATGTAGCCCCAGATGCTCACACATAGGCTAATTATACGGCTGACAGCATCTATGATGGTACAGATCATACTCTTTACTATGGTTTGCAGTTGATTAGTATATGACATTCAATACATTGATAGATTACTGAATTTTCAAGATTGGTACAACATGTACAATAAGTAAGAGTGTAATGGCATGCAATAAATGCATTAAGTAAAACAACAATGGCAACACCTACAGTGCTGCAGAATTTCTGTGCAAAGACATCGCTCTTGGTGTTGATGACGTCTCTCTGACCAGTAAAGGCATCAATCACAACACTGCTGTTGTTGGCACCTGTATTATACAGTACATACTTCAGTAACCAATGATATTGCAGGGATACATAAACAGGTTAACAACTTGAAACTAAAATGTATCACACTTAGCTTTGTACTGATTAATACTTGCTTTATCCAATGATGTAAACTGTCTAAGATCAATATATTTAGCACGTTGGCAGAACGTACTGTGCCTGCATGAAATCAGGAACGTAATGTGCATACAGAACGTATCGTTTAAGGTCGTGTTTGGGTATTTAAGGATGACATCTCATCTGTAGTTTTCAAATGTTGCATCAGAAAAGATGTCGCCTGCAATGGACAAAGTTCCGATGCAAGGTTCACCAAACATCCAACAGAAACCGTGATATTTCGTTCATTACATTCTGCCAACATGCTACCAGTAATACAGTATAGTATATCAATGAAACTAGAAACAATATCTAGATAGCTTCCCCCAAAAACCTACCAACACTGAAGCACTTGGAGAAGACAGGGTTGGAGTTCCAGGCACAGGTCCAGGCAGACTTCACCTCGTAGTTCCGACCCCTCACCAGGCCTGCTCCACCTGGGCCTGTAGTGTGATAGGAGGTATTCTCTCAGTAGTAGACTACCTTTTTTTTGGAAAAGAATGGACGTTGATGCACGCACATATGTCATCCAAGTATGAAGAAGTTTGGCCTTAAGAATTACATGTAGTTTAGCCTTAGGAAGGCACATGGTCAGGAACATAGTTTAGCACTGATGTCTTTTTTTGGCATGTTGTAACATACTGCTCGCTCCTTTGGTTCAAAAGTATCAAGGGAAATGAACAACTTGTGCAGATTGCATGCAAAAGCTCTGATTAGCAATTAGCCCTGAGTTGCACGTCTCTAATGTTGGTATAACATGATATCCTAATGTTGGCCCTATAGTTACCAATAGCCCCGCTATCTTCCCACAGTGAAAGCATCTGTCTCAGCCTGGATGCCAGACCCATAGCACTTTAGACCCCGTGGCTATGGTTTAAATCCATTGGTGGCAATTGTATTGGCCCTGGAGCTGAGGAGCTGGCCTGCGTAGGCCCTGGCTATACAGTCTGGCATCCAGGCAAGTGTCTATCCCTAAGACAAAAAATAGTTGCAAAGACATCCATGCAAAAGCCAGCATACCTGGTATGAGATGTTCGTTTGCCATGACCTCGGCACACACCAGTCGTGCACAGGACGGAGAGTCTGGTCCTTCATCTAACACTGAGAATCTGAACCCTGGTCAAGGTAGAAAGGTGAAGATAGCTCCATAGCCCTTTTTTTCAGGCTGTAGGGGCAGTGGAATGTTAATCCACAGGGCACGGTATTGAAACATGGAATCCATCCCTCTCCTTCTTCTACCACCTTTTACCTCCCCAACAGAAGTCAGGTACCCATTTTAGGTAGAGTGAAAAAAGTCATCATAAAACCAACAACAACTTCAGACAAGGATACAGGGCATGGGACTCTGGTCCTGTCACTGAGGCCCAGCAAATACCTGTCACCTGGAAAATACAGTGTTACATGTATAATTATATGTACAACGTTAGACTACCTGTACAGGACATGTAATTATATTAAATCAAAAAGTCCTCTACACGAATGAACAAGCCTTACAAGACTACACCTGTCCCCGGTAACTTGAATGACCGCAGTACATTCACCTGTCACTGTGGTGCACTTCTGCAACACCCAGTTGAAATCAATTACTAGTAGAACAACTGGTAAATGGCTGCAGTACCGTCTCTTGTCACTGTGGGGCGCTTTAGATACCATGAATTAGAAGTCATTGGTAGCTAAGATTCACATCTGTCTCAGTGTTGTCATTAGGCGCAGGTACAGACTAGCCCCAAGATACTCTACATGTGTCACTGATGCCCCCTACCTTTCCTGGAGTGAAGTACTGCATGTAGGACTTCTGCATAGAATCCAGGGTGTTGAGAGCCATGAATGAGACAAAATCAAGCCTGCAGAGGGAAATGGTATTAATCAAAGAAACAGATAGATTTTCTTCTAGCAATGTTAGTATAGTGATAGTAATCAAACAAACTAGACACTCCGTCCAGACAAAATTATTGAGAAGATGGAAGTTGCTTTGAAGAATCCCTTTGAGTTATAGTCAGATCAAACAAAACATAGTTTACCTATTGTTATAGAAATGCACCTGTCCTAAAATAAACTTTGGACAACTCACTGACAGCTGCTGATACGCCTGGCATCAGACAGGGCCAGCAGCCGCTCGCACCTGCTGTCAGGCTGGAAATAACATCAACATCCATCATTGGTCCCATCCTTGTGTAAAATATCTTATATATACAATTACAACCTACAGGTACTATAAAAGAATTTAGCATTAGTAAAGCTCATGCCTTCCCCATAGTACACATTTGAAATCAAGGGGCATAGTATCAAGCCTGGTTACCAGACTTATTTTTAATTGCTCCAAAGTCTTTATCCTCTCAGCATTATCCTTTATCCTCTACTTGCGGATAAATACTTGGGAGCTAAAATATGTCTGGTAATCAGGCTACGTGGTATCGAGCTGAGACTGCTTCCAGGCAAACAGTCTGGTATAATAACAGTTGGCCAATCAGAGGTTGTGGCACTAAATGACACTCGTTTTTCTACCAACAGGTGCCAGGTAGGGGACAGAGGATGGGACTGTAGTTACTGTCACTCTGTAGGATGGACACCAGGCTTACATGTGAGACTGGCTCTATCAAATGCTCACCTCCAGTGCGAGGAAGTTGACAGTATCTTGAGTTGAGGAGTCGTACAGGTTAACCGTCAGCTTCTGTTTCTCCATCTCAACCAGGAAACTTTCTTCAGCACACCTGGGGGAAGAGGCAGAACAGTACAAGATAAAGAAAGAAAGGCAATCATGACATTATATGGTGATGGAGACTGGGAAGAAATAATGGTGTAAAAAGCAACTTAGCAAGGTAGCGCAGTCATCCTCAGCTGAAGTGAAACATCATGCTATTTTTGAGTAGCTTATCATATAATAAGCAGTTATAGTACAATGTCCTTTTGTGACAGCTTGTGCTTTCAGCGAAGCACATTGGGTCACCACATCTCTTCATGATAGGCGCGTTGCTTATATATGCACGGATTTGATGCCTGAAGCTCCTTAAAAATACAAGATGCACCATCTAAAATGACGAATACAAATGGCCTCAACAAAGCTCAAGCACCCTTGGGATCTGCCAAACTTGGTCCACATAATAAAGCAACCAACAGACACCACGAGTCTACAGTACCTTTGGGACAGCCGAGAAGAAAACTGTCCAAACTGTCTCTTTAGAAGCAGGCAAGGACCACATGAGACTGTTCTTGTGCTGCCCCTGACTTTAACCTGGATATTAAGAGAAATACAATATGTTTCCATAAAATGCTGTATCCTCTGGGTTAGCAATAGTCTCATTATTTTGAAAACAGCTACATGTAACGTTATGTCTCTAAAGTCTATAACTTACTACATTTTGTATTTACTGAAACTATGTAGCAGGGCTTTAGCCAGCATTAATTTTTTTTCCGTCTGCCTAGGTTCATGATAATTGGGCTAAGTTTAAATTTTCAAGCGTTTAGACACACTACATGTCCCATATTTTGAGAGGCAAATCATGGGGTTGAGAGTGGTTGGTGGTTGTCTTTTGGTTGTTTTTATACATTTTCCCCAAGACTTTTGTTAATTCTGTCCATCAACATTGACGTATCGGTTTAAAAATTTTCTGCACAAAAAGTTCCTGCAATTGACGGAAAACTACCGGTAGTGCTTGCTACAGCCCTGCTATGTAGGTACATGTACATGTACATGTACAATGTACTAGTAAACTGAAAACCTATAAACAGTTTCACCCCCATTCTCCTGACCTTTGGTACGGTCCTGTTCCTGTCTTGCTTCAGTAGTTCTTGTCGGGTCTCCTCCTGCTGTTTCTGTTGGATGTGGGCTGTAGTCAGGGGGTTGTAGTTATTGTGTCCCGGCAGGATGCGGAAGTATTTCTTCTTCTTCGGGTCATAGTAAAAACCTGGAATCTGTGAGCAGCAGTTACGGTACAAACACTTGTACTGTATAAGTCATCAGTCCATTAAACCTAATTTCAATTCATAAATTTCTCCAAATAATTAAAAATCAATTAATTTACTGCAGAGAGACAAGCCAAATGTTCCATAAATTTCTGCCTAGTACAAGGATCCCAGTTCCAATAGAAGACTAAAAATTTGTGAGGGAAATAACTACATGTAGATCTACCTTCACTTAATTGACTAAATTCATTTTTGTACAATGTACTTCAAGGATTAGCTTAGACATTAGCTTATCTTCTGTATCATTATCATCATTTATGTAAATATCTAAATGAATTTAGACAAATAGATCAGATTTAGAAAACTGTTCTGAACAGAGTTACAGAAAGGATATCAGACGCAGCCTGTTGTCCCTCTACACCACTAGTAGTACTACTGCAGCTGGAGGCTGCTGCAGGTGGTAACCTCTGACCTCTCCCTCCTCCTGCAGGTAACCTAGCAACAGCATCACCTGACTGTCCATCCTCACCTTCCCGCTGACTCCTTTTTCTCTGCTCTTTCCTTAGCCTCTTTTCTCTGAAGGAATCTTTGCCAACCATGCTGCTAAAATTCCTCTTGTCTCTCATATTGTTATAATGCCCCCCTTGAGTTCTACTCCTACTGGTTTCATCATCACAGTTTCTTTGCCCTGAATTTCTCCACAAGTTTCTATTTTGCCGTTCATTACCAAAGCCAGCTGCGACATCAGTTCTGTATCCATTTACAGGTGTTCTGGTATCTTTGTCATAGTCCTTTTCATGTCTACTAGTACTAGCAGTTGCTGTTATCTGGTTTGAAGTTTGTTGTTGATAGCTTTCCTGTACTCTATCACGATTAGTATGTTGTGTTGTGTGTGCACTATGTGGTCTTCTTTGTCCTTGGGTATGAAATGATCTACCAGATTCTGAGTCACTTTCAGCTGTTCTGCGATGTTGTTGAGTGAAGTGAAAGTCCCCTGGTACACCACCCTGGTCTTCCTGCTTTCTCCATCTGTTCCGTCTTGATCTCAATCGTCCATTTTCCCCCCCTCTTTCTGATGATGACATCCTGTATGACAGTATGTACAAAAAGATGATATGCACTGCAGCAGTGTCCTTATGGTTTAAACATAGACTTGGAGCTGGAACACAACATTAGCTTCATTTTCACTTGTAACAAAAACATTTACTCAAATATTGGAATCAGCATACTAGTAGTCTTCATTTGTACCTCATGCTACAATTTATAATGCGCATATCCAGGGCATCTATGATTATGAAATCAAATGGAATGCACACAAATCAAGTTGCTTCCTCCAAAGAGGCTAAAAAATATTCTTTGAGCAAATGAACAATAGATTTTAATATAACGTTATATATTATAAGAACCACATAATTTGTGCCTAGAGTAGAGTGCCTAACTGAAACATCTTTCTCGTTTACCTTAGCACTAAGTTGAAATTGCTTGTACCGAGAGATTACGAATCATAAGCCATGCTCTATGAAGTATCGCATCATACGACATTTACGAGATTCTAACATATTTCCCATGTGTTCGCCATTCAAAAATTTATAATGCCCCCCTCCCCCAGATTTTAGCAGACACAAAAACCTAATTTATTTTACGTTGAGTAGTACTAAAACTACCGTCAAAATCAGTGTCAAACGTGGGAAAGGAGTCTTGCAATTGGATTGTCCACACATACCTTTGTACGGGGTTGCAATCTGCAGGTGATCTGAAACTTTGATTCCAAAGAAGCCAGGACGTCGCGAACTACCGACTTCCGCACTCCATGTGACAATAGCCCCTGTAAAGTAAACATTAATCGCAAGGTGGCGCTGCTGTAAGTCAAGTTTATTGCGCCACAATTGCATTGGATACAATGTATGGCAAATAACACTTAATAACTATAAACTATTTCTAATAGTACAAGTGTACTAATCTAACTTCAATACATGTATTATATATCATTGTATATATAATGGACTGTTACATTTTACATTGCTGTGACATTGTTTCTCTTTTGTATAGCATTATGTACATATTGACCTAGATAAACAGATACAGAGTCGGGGCATGATAACAGCATATGTTGAAAATTTCTCTACTTGTTCCAGGTAGTGTTATCTTACTCTTCCATGATATCAATAGTTTTTTTTTTTCCTTTCTTCACGGTAGGGACATATCATTACAAAATGTTACAGTTATCCGTTCTTTGGGGACTCGCTCGATCTTTTAATTGCCTTTAGTGCCATGGGCGATAGGCCACCAAGTTTTTGTTGAAATCGCCGTTGCTTTGGGGAAAAAGTCTGGGGAAAAACAGCACAAGTAGCAACAAGAATTCTGAGATATCATCCCTCCATGAAATATATGAGTTTTTATGAATGTTTTTATTTGTCTCATTGACTATGGAAATAAGGTCGTAATTAGCATAATCCAGTTTAATTTATGTTTTTTTAATTGAAATGACTATATTTTTCGTGTAAAATTCCTCTCCTCTGTCATACTTCATTTCAACATGTCCTCATTAATTATGAAAATGACCACCACATTAACATAATATATGCATAATGGTGTTAACCTTCAAGTAACTTACACATGTCACAAGGTATAAAATTCCCATCATACACCAATAAGGAGTAAGAGAATTTTCACATTAACTATGCAAATCAGGTCATAATTTGCATAATTGGTATCTGTTGATGTTCTGCCTGCCACAGATTAACTAGAACTGCCTTGTTACGGTTACCTTATCTCCAACCAGATGTTAAGGTAGAAGATGAGTTTCTGATTGTCGTGGAAGGTTTGTCACAGAAGCCAGGCTGTGAGAGAAAGTGCTCACAGAGGGGATGAGGAACGTAGACCGTAGGGTCCTCTTGGCCGGAACTTTGGCCGCACCTTCTCTGCTGCCTCGCCGGCTAGCTTGCAAACCTTTCAAACCAGTTAGAACCTTGCGGCGAACGACTGAAAAAAAATATATATCTGTCAATCCCCCAAAAAAATTCAAAGTTCAAAAACCCCAATTTGATTTTTGTATTTCAATCCAATTATCTCCCGGGACGTAGCGTTAGCGTTACACGATATTCGTTCTGAATGCTTTCTTATTTGGTAAATTTCTAAAGAACGGAACATTTCCTTAATTAACTTACCGGCGCTCGACAGACGTCTCGACAGACTCCTGCCTTTCAGCATCCACGGGTGTTCTAGGATCTGCTGGAGAGAAGGACGGCCGGACGGACGGATTGTCAGCATCCACCTGATGAGATCTTCGCATTCTTTTGATACCCGTCGTTCGAAGTAGACCTCGCCTCTGCAGATTTCGCTGTCTCGCTCGAAGGGAATGTTGCCGCAAACCATTTCGTACAGCAGGATGCCCAGCGACCAGACCGCTGCCCGGCGCCCGTGGTAGCGATGGAACCGGATACACTCAGGAGGACTGTATACTCTCGTTCCAGCGAAATCTGTGTAGACTGTGTCTTTCAAGAAGGCGCCAGACCCGAAGTCGATGAGCTTAATTCTACCCGTCTTCAGCTCGACTAGTAAGTTCTCGGCCTTGATATCTCTGTGTACCACACCCTGGTTGTGGCAATGCCTGACCATGTGCACGATTTGGAGCATAAAGTCTCTGCTCAAGAACTCGCCCAGAGCACCCTTTTCCGTGATAAAGTGAAACAAGTCCATGACTGGCTCTGGACGCTCCAGGATGAGGATGTAGGAATCCGGGCGTTCGGTCCAGTCCAACAACTTGATGATATCGTCGTGGCCCATCACTCGCCGCAACAAGACGATCTCCAAGGGAACACGCACTCCGTTCAACTGTCCCCATCCTGTGACTTTCTCTCTCGCTATATCCTTGATGGCCACCGGTAGGCCGTCCCGTGCCCTTGTACCGGCGTACACGTTGCCGAATCCGCCGCTCCCGAGCATCGCTCCACGGTGGTACACCTTCTCGAAAGACTCTCTCTCTGTCACTGGCTTGCTCAGCGGCGCTATATGCTTGATGGCCACCGGTAGGCCGTCCCGTGCCCTTGTACCGGCATACACGTTGCCGAATCCGCCGCTCCTGAGCACCGCTCCACGGTACCGGTGGTACTCTCTCTCTGTCACTGGCTTGCCGGGTGTTAGATCCATGCTGCTCGTCGGGCAGGGCTGTACGAAACTCCCCTTCACAAGATTCACAGTTGCTGTCCGATGTCTGTACACGGCGATCTTTTCTGACAGAGCCACAGGCGTCACGACCGCGGGGACCGGCCGCTGAGGCGCCACTGTCGGCTTCGGTGCGTCCTGTTGCGATTCCGCCGCAACTTCATCAGACTTCCCAGCGAGCGCCCAGGCTGTGCTGGGCCTAGGTTGAGGCATCAATGCCTCCGGGACTGTGAGTATAAAATCGTACGTTACATGGAGGGACTCATGATCCCGGGTTTGTGTGTGTGTGTGTGTGTGTGAGTGTGTGTGTGTGTGTGTATATATATATATATATGCGTATGTGTGTGCGTGTGTAGTGTGTGTGTGTGTATATATATGCGTGTGTGTGTGCGCGAGCGCGTATGGCACGCCGAATGGGTCAAAAAGGAGAGAGAGAGGAAATAGAGGCGCGAAGAAAGAAAAAAACATGGAGAGAGGAAATATCTTGGGCGCGTAGAAAGAAAAACATGGAGAGAGGAAATAAATATCTTGGGCGCGAAGAAAGAAAAACATGGAGAGAGGAAATAAATATCTTGGGCGCGAAGAAAGAAAAACATGGAGAGAGGAAATAAATATCTTGGGCGCGAAGAAAGAAAAACATGGAGAGAGGAAATAACTAT